TATCACCGAACGCATCCACTATCAAAGGATGTTTTGTTTGTCCGCACTAAAAGTGCTATTCACTTTATTTGAGTGTACTTATTTAATATTCATTCATTCTAACTCTAGATTTACTGAAAACGCAGTGAGTGAGTGAGTGATTTCATGTCGCAAGTGAATGCTTGCGATAAGCCAACAGTTTGTTATTCAGTCCAATGTACAATTACCCTCTAACTAGAAACGATGAAGTCGTTTGATCAGCGGTTCAGCTTATTTGATCGGCTTTTCAGAAATTTATGAAAATTGTTTTTGACTAGTATAGTAATGCTCTTATTCGAACAATCCAAAACTGCATGAATTCCATATTTAATCACACAATAAACAGATGAATACGAGGCAAATATGAAGTGAAATGATTCATGTAATGACGTAATTCTTTACACAAATGTCACAATAATTCACACATACGTCATTTCCGCAAACGAGGTTCCATGACAGTTTCTGAATCATCTCTTCAGTGGGTGCATTCGCAGAGGTTGGGATTCCTTTAATGAAGGGGACCCTTCGTAAGCGCAGGCGATTCGAACACTCCCCCACCTTATATTTCGGTAGGGATCTGCTCGAATTAACAGCACATTTTGCTTGTTCCAAGTATGATTTTAATAAAAGTCTTATAGTACTTGCCCGGAATTTACGGGCTGACGCAAAGATGCGTCTGATCGTGCACACGGCCCACATTCTCTTGATCTCAACGAGTTTTATGATGGTCTGATTCGCACACTACGAGAAGACTTCAAGAAAACTGCCGTTCGAACTCATTGAAGTACATAGGACACAAGTAATTTTACAAGAATTTGTCATGCTACAAAGAATGAGCTACTCGAAGATCTTGTCGTCACCAAATTTACACGGTTGGTTTATTAACGGCTTATTTTACATAAGACGCTCGGCATAACCATTTTCGCATATGCTATCATTCTCTCCACCATACCACCATTTTCGGATATCTGACACTATCCGGTGCTTATTCACTGTTTCATGCAAGAATTTGCATATATCACAAGTAGAATCCACGTGACAATCCTTTTCATATGTCTTTGTCCATTCAAAAAATCTGAAAATGGGATATTATTTTGTGTTGCTACTGCGGCAATGATAGCAACTACACTAGTAACGACGAAGCAATGAAATGTTACAGCGACTTACCTCTCATATTCAGTTCGATTAGCCATCAAATACTGCAGATATTCAGCCAGTTCCTTAGGTGAATGAAAATCGTCAGCAGCGATAAACGAATTGTCTGGGAGGAATTTGTTAATGATTGATCTCTTCAGTACGATTGGTACGATCAGTTGGTTGATTCGACTGAACACTTTCTCGGTCACATAATCTTGACAAACACTATTCTCGAACGCCAAGTAGAAGTAATGATCTGCTGAAAACACCTATGAATTAGAGCTGGTAACATTCGTGAATAATGTTCGCTTAGAACACGGTTTTATTCTCACGACGGTCTCAAACAATGAATGGCCATAAGTAATTTGGTGTCTTAACACTCTAGCATTTCGATAACTTTGGCATTAAAGTGTGCCAATGAAAATACTCAGGGATCATTTTATTCACCGATAGCCTTTTCAGCACTTTGCTGATCGATGCGCCTTCCAGAACAATCTCCATACTGGTTCACTGTGATGTATTTGGAAAGTTCTCCATAATACGTTTCACGTTTTGACGGCGTCTCACAGTGGGATACGAAAACCGTAACAGCCTCTTTCTTGTGAGCAGTCCGATTAAGCACCTAAAAGGAAGGTGGTTTAGTTGGAAAACTGGTGCGAAACGTTCACTGCGCGAATAATGCAAAGAGGAAATGAAAAATCAAACTTCAAAACATACCTCCTCCCAACTCCAGACATGCTCACGAGTAGATGACTTACGAATGCGTTTCAAACGCCCATATGGAACCTGCACATCACTGTCAAGCCTTCAATTTGGCCTATAGTAATCTTTTTCGCAAAATTACATCTATGTTATCCATTCGCATAGAAGTGATTGCAATCTGAGTTGATTTGTTTTTAGCTTATAACTTTCACGACTTATGCAACAAATCAATTATTTTACACAGAAAAACCACTGTAATTTTATTGCTCACCTATATGATAGAGACACGTTGAAGTAGTCGGTTGGTACTGAACTGAGACCACTTCCGCTGAAGGAAGGTGACTCTTGTAGAAAGAATGCAAAAAACTGATGTGGTGATCGAACTGCTGGTAAATCATTTGCGTTCAGGTCCCTGATATGAAAAATCACCAGAGAAGCATTTGATAACAGACTGAAATAGATAGACATTATGAGGTGATTCGCCTCTTCCGAAATATTGGGTTACTTTGAAAAGTGAAGCAGAAAGACAGAAGCGATTAAATGACGTGGGAAGACTACTGGAAGTGAATGGCGAGTATAAACTATATAGTTATGTATGTCGGAGTCTGAATGGATATATGCATGAAACAAAATATAAGATGAACGTTATATAGACAAAACAAAGAAATTTTATTGGTGGTGATATCGCGAAATGTAATTTTTAGCGGTAGGTGATATCCAATTTTTAAAGATGACTTTGAGTCGGTTTGCATGATCTCAGAAATAATCCTGTGAAGCCATTGGGTAATCAAAATTGGTCACAAATCAGTTGTTCAATTGATGACTTCAGTTAGATCACATTCTGCACCTTCGGTTGTTCGTCACTATGCATTTATAGTCACAATGATTCACTCCACCGCCTTCATGTTCGAAAAACTCTGCCAAATCACCCCCATAGTACGATGTCCACGTCAGAATTTGTAGTGTCTCATCAGAATCCTTCAACTGTAAAAGCATTCAATTTCTGCCCAATGAGTAGCCTTTCTTTCCTGCGTTTATAAATTCCCTCAAAATTTTGCCCAAATTTTATCCGAAAAGCAATCAAGCGATACATGCATCATACCTTCAGATGACATGTATATACATTTATATTTACTATTCATTTATATATTGTGGTGGATGTATATTTTAAGCACATAGAGCGTGGTTGTATGGCACCCCGCCCGAGAAATTAGCGGTGAGAAATGTATTCCTTAAGAATAAGGGATCCGAAATCCGAAATATTACGTGAACGTAACCTGCTTCGCGAAGAGAGCCGAACTGTTGAGTGCTTGATAAGACTGAATAAGTTGCTGAGTGTTATATAACTGACAGAAAAGTATTACCGAAAGAAAAAGAAATCCAGTGAGCACGATCAAACGCTTCTCGGTTGACATATCCAATTGACTAAAAAACCAAGTCGGCGTTTCACTAAAATTCTCTGATTATAAGTGGAAGGAGACCAATTCCATTCATAAGCGCTCCATCAACCCCACGTTACTCATACGTATAACCTTATTCTTGATCATCTTGAAAATTTCTGTTTGTTGTTGTGCCGCGAACTCGCAATATCAGTTTGCCCTTTCTCGTTTTCAATTCACCTATATCACTTCGTATTGCTCCTGTTAATGCTCATCAAAAATTTGCTCATCATTTGTAACATACACCATTCGTCCGATATGGGGAATACCACATCATTCAATTCACATCTGTGCACACATCTTCGTTTGTATTGTAGCTTTGTCCTAATTCCTATCAATTCTGCAAAAATCACATGCATCGCCTTTACAAACACGTTAAGAGCGTAGGTATCATTTTTATTCATCAAAATTTCATTCATCGTATTCATCGCTTCCTTTTTTTCACTTGAAATTCATCGTTGAAAGGAATAACAAAAGTTGTTGAAATGAATCAAAAATACAAAAATTCTTGAACTATGAAATATGCAATTAAATTATTGAAAAAAAATCATGTATGCAACCAAAAGCACGAAAATTATGAATTGATTCGTCAGTTCGTTTCGTTCCAATTCTCGCCGAGTACTTATCAATTAAAGTGCTCAAGAAGAAATGATTGGAAATAAAATCAGACCAATCAGTCACTAGTGCATGACCACCAAATAATGAATGATGCGTCAATGAACATTGCAACGTTAGCTTATCAGTCCCTTTGAATAGACCTATCAATGCTTATCGAATAGAGCTATCGCTATTTGCTTGATTGCCTCAACTTTTACTTGACCAATTTACTTCGAATGATAATTGAATAAATTCTGGTTGTAAGTACCCAATCGCGAATATCATGTATGAGCAGGCAGTTTCGCTAGAATTTTTATCAAGACGAAAAAGGGCAAAATATCAACCACAAAGACAATTTCGGTTTTTTCTGAGATGCTTTCACGATTGCCTCCATGATGCTGTCGTGTTCTGTGCATTTGCATACCTGAATATCTTCCATTCACATATCACTCATATCCACGTTCCAACATCGGATTCAGTGATAATATTCAGCATTAACAGATAGTGTTTTGATGAACATCTCGGAAATAACGTGAATGATGACTTAAATGACAGTAAAATGAGAACTCATGACGATAATAATAACGTGGACATCTACAGTGATAGCTAATGTAATGATTTGTTTTGTTCTTTGGCAAGCACCCTCACAATGGTCTCCATCATAGCATGGCAACTGCACGAAATTCTTATTTTTCGAACCTGTCCATTACTCCAAAGTGGGTAATTTCATCCACAATGAGAACCGCTGGCTTGAAGAAGAACATCCAATTTTTGCAGTGTATTATTTATACTCACTACTTATTTGATTGCTGTTAACCCATGTGATGATCTTCTTGCCTGCTCATACATGATATTCGCGATTGGGTACTTACAACCAGAATT